CAGTAAACTGCCATGACATGGCGAAAGTGGCTTAGGTGCATGTAGGGGTCTGTCTTCCCCTCGTAAGTCGTAAATTTAGGCTGGATAAAGCCTGAAGGTAATGGTACGTTCTCAATCGCCGGAACGAACGCCGAGCTATGTAGCCTTGCTAATGCTTTATCTGTTGGTTCGTAGGCAAGGTGCGGTATTGGCATTCCTACCTCGACGCTCCCATGCGTCTGAGGAGCCAACCGCTGAAGGGCTGAAATTCTGCGCGGGTCACGTGCCCTGGCATCCTCCTTCCATCGTGCCCTTTCTTCAAGCACAGTTCGCAAATCGGATGACCTAGGCAGCTCCGTCTGCCTGGATGACGTCTGGTGCGTGAATGAGAGCCGATAGATACGTCCCTCAGTATATGACCTTTCAATCCTCATTCTTTCAGACCTGGAGTAACGAGTCCTAGCAGTCCTTGATTGAGTGTCGCCTGTCCTGAGGCTCCTACTCACTGCTTGTGACGGTGTGGTATACCTACCACGATCTTCCAAGTGGCGAGGAGGCGTATTGCTTTTGCGCCCCTCTCCTGTCGCCACCCCCTTCCTTTTTATTTGGCGCTTCATCAATTCCATGTCCGCCGCCATCTTCCTGATTAACTCGTCCTGCTCCTTTACCCGATCCTCCAAAACTTGAGGGTCAATCCTCCGCCTCTGCCTATCGGGACTTGATGAATGACAGGGGCTGTTACCCCGCCTCCCCTTTGCATCCATCCGGGGGTTCTGTTGCTGAGGCTCTAAATCTGCCATAGGAGGGATGGAAGGCAAACCTTCGCGCCTCCCACCTCCCTCTGGGGTTTGTCCGTCAATGGCGGACTGCGAAAAATCTTCATTGTGCGCCATTGCGTCTAATCTAGCAAGGAAAACTTTGATCAAGAGGTTTTGTTCTTTCTGTGATTCCCACAGACGGCGCCAATTGTACGAGCAAGAAATATTCTTTCTTGTATAATCCTGTTGATCAAGTCTGCGCTTCTCCGTACGACGTCGCTTTACTTCCTGAAAACACAAACGTGAGCTAGCCGGCAGGTGTGTGCCGGATACCTCTCTGATGCCTAAGTCAGCAAAATAGACAAATAGACAAAAAGATTATGTATTCAAGGGTTTCGTAATACATTATCTCACATAAGCTCCCTTGGTTAATCAAAATTTGCTTGACGTCGTAATCCTTGACGCGGAGGGTGACAACCAGTGCATCATTGTGAGGGCAATATATCCTTGCCAAGTCTCTGTTTGAAAAATACATGACATTCGTGGTCTCTGTTTTTCCTTTTTTAATGGTAGGTTGCGCACTTAATACCTCCCTTAAGTGCTCAGCCTTCTTGATTATTCCCCTAAGCTCACATACTCGCTCAGGTTTGAATACCCCATGTATTACGTTTATCATGCC